CATTAACCCACTTGCAGTCTTGTAAAAGATACTTTTAAAAAGTATTCAAATACATGTTACGGACCGTCGTTACTTGACGTATCGTAACCGTAAATTAATGTACAATTTGCATACAAATAAGGCCTTTTATTGTATAATTATAACAGTACAATTAATTATGATATATACATATGGAACAGAGTACCCCAGGCCGCGCGGCTGGCTTGTGGAAGCGTGTCGCAACGGGCGGGTTCGGACCTGTGGAGGTGCGAAATACTTACAGGTATTGGGTTTATTGATTATTGTGAATAATTATATAATAATAAATGGATAGAGTTAAGTTCGCTCGTTCACGGACTCAAGCAAGTCGTGCTCTGCGCGGTAACGCCTAAGCAGGCGCACCGAGGGTGGGACGTGGTGTTTGGTTCTGAAAAGAACCGATTTATTTGACCGCGCTGAGAGGTCGGCCGTTGATATATCTTGATACCGTTGTTGTTGCACAGTTGGCTTCGTTGATGTGCTCGTAGGTCCCGGCCGGTTAGTCTGATTCGATAATATGTTCGTGACTACCGTCTGGTAAGTCTAGATCGGCTTCGTCGAGGTTCGTTGACGTCGGCCGATCGATCCGTGTTGATTACGTCGATCAGTTTGTCGGCTCCGACTGGTCGAACTGGGTCGGCTTCGTCGAGGTCTGATGTCGTCGGCTGGTTGAGCTTGATCGGCTTCGTCGAGGTTTATCGTAGTCGGCTGATTCGTTGGCTGGTGGTCTTCGGGTCTTCTAATCTTCCAAACTGTTTTAGTTGTTGACTGGTGGAAGATGAATTGAAGACTGATGATAATCCGGTAAAATGCACCCGGTATATATTATACTCTATATTGTGTTATTCTCTTCCCTGATTAGTCGAKGATGGTTGTTTCACCAAGCAACAACCACACCTTGATCCGTTGGTTTCTGTTCCATTCATGTGGTTTTCACCCGTCATATTGGTGAAACCTACTCGATGAAAACCTATCTTTTTCCGTGTGTCACGTTGGGTAAATGTGTTACATTATATTGTCACTCCGGTGTGTTTGCTCG